CACAGCTCATTAGCACATTAGGCCTCCATGTTACCAGAAGTGTGGTCATCCAGCCACACCCACCTTTCGCTTCTTATTCTGTTTACCTTGTTTGTGGTCAAAACCCAGGGCCTTTTTTGTAGCAGGAACTCCTTTGCATGTTAGGCCACACACCCCTAATGTAGCCAGTCCTAATGAGTTTCTGCTGTTGGGTGTGGCCTATTATGCTAATGAGTTCCTGCTGGGCGTGGCCAGCTCGGGAGCCAGCTGGAACTCCGTTCCTGTGCGTTCCTGCCCAAAAATAGCCCTGGCCCCTTTCCCAATCCACACGGCTGCCTACCCTGGTTGCCTGCGAACAATCCTTACTTGCCGTAGGTGACCAGGAGAGGGCCTGTTCTCAAGCTTGTTTCGGACATTCATATGATCGTCAGAGCAGGTTACATTAAACGAGCTCTGCTCTCTGTGCAAAGCGAGCTAGCCGAGGAGCCGGCGACACGCAGCCCCCAAGGCACTTGGGCCAGAGTCTTCAGAATCCCAGCTTCCAGTTGAAAGAAAGACCCCAGCCCTCAAGGGGCCAGAAATACCAGCATGTGCGACCACTGCCTCTTTTCCCATGGGGCTGCTTTAAATAACCTTTCCCATTTTCTTCCTTCTGGCAAGACCATGGCAAAGCTACACAAAACAGAGTCTCGGGGACGAATGGAGGGCAGTAAGCATAGCATTCCCCATGACTCCTCTTCGATTTGCCAACCCAAAGGCCAAAAGATATACGGAGTGAAACTAAAATCAGTGGCAAGGCAGCCATCAAGGGGGGAGGGAAGGTGAGGGTGTGTCTTAACAGTGTTCCCTCTAAGATGAGTTAGTGTGAGCTAGCTCAGTGGGGGTAAACAGTGGGAGGGCTTCTAATGTCCTGGCCCCACTGGTGGACCTCCTGATGGCACCTGGTATTTCTGGCCACTGTGTGACACAGAGTGTTGGACTGGATGGGCCTTTGGCCTGATCCAACATTGGTGTCTCTTATGTTCGTCTTAATCTGGGAGAACCGGGTTTGATTCCCCACTCCTCCACTTGCACCTGGCTGGATGACCTTGGGCAAGCCATAGTTCTGATAAGAGCTGTTCTTGAAAAAGAGCAGTTTCTGTCAGAGCTCTCTCAGCCCCACCTACCTCACAGGGTGTCTGTTGTGGGGAGGGGAAGGGAAAGGAGTCTGTAAGCCGCTCTGAGACTCCCTTGGGTAGTGAAGGGGGGGCATAAATCCAATCTCTTCTTCTTCTTCTTCTACCTCACAGGGTATCTGTTGTGGGGAGGGGAAGGGAAAGGAGTCTGTAAGCCGCTCTGAGACTCCTTTGGGTAGTGAAGGGTAGGGTATAAATCCAATCTCTTCTTCTTCTACCTCACAGGGTGCCTGTTGTGGGGAGGGAAAGGGAAAGGAGTTTGTAAGCCGCTCTGAGACACCTTTGGGTAGTGAAGGGGGGGGGGTATAAATCCAATCTCTTCTTCTTCCCATCTCCAAGAGAGTCTCTGGGAATATCAGAACAAAGTTTGAATCCAGTGGCACCTTTAAGACCAACAAAGTTTTATTCAGAGTGTTAGCTTTCATGTGACTTCTTCTTTCTTCGGACTTCTCCAGAAGTGTGCTTTGCACACGAAAACTTACACTTTGAATAAAACTCTGTTGGTCTTAAAGGTGCCACTGGACTCAAAACTTTGTTCTGCTGCTTCAGGCCAACATGGCTGCCCACCTGGATTTTTCTGAGAATGCCAGTTACCCCACCAGAGCAGCTGAATGTCAGTTTGGTGTAGGGGTTAAGTGCGCGGACTCTAATTTGGGAGAACCGGGTTTGATTCCCCACTCCTCCACGTGCAGCTGCTGGATGACCTTGGGCAAGCCGTAGCTCTGATAAGAGCTGTTCTTGAAAAAAAGCCGTTTCTGTCAAGAGCTCTCTCAGCCCCACCTACCTCACAGGGTGTCTGTTGTGGGGAGGGGAAGGGAAAGGAGTTTGTAAGCCGCTCTGAGACACCTTTGGGTAGTGAAGAGCGGGGTATAAATCCAATCTCCTCCTCTTCTTCTTCTTTCATACGCAGCACGGATCTGCAAATATTTACTCCTAAGTGCCAGTTTAATAACACAGTGCTCATGTTCCCGCTAAGCTGTGGAGTCTTGTGAGCAAAAATTCTCCCTTGTGAGCTACTGGCATTAAAGTTGTGAGCAAGCAATTTGGCTACTGCATTAATTAGTTTGCTCTGGAGCCCTCCTTCCTGAGCTGAGACAAAAATGTGTGAGCCGGAGGCTAAAAAACTCTGAGCTGGCTCACACTAACTCAGCTTAGAGGGAACACTGGTGCTCACTCTGTATTCTGACAGCATCTGAATTTTCAAAGACGTGCAGGGGTTAATCCTTAGTGCCTCCTAAATCTGCAAGACTGATCAGGGCCAAGGTATCAAAGCCTATTAAAAGAACTAATGCTCATACCCAGAATAAAACTTGGTTGGTCTTAAAGGTGGCACTGGACTCAAAACTTTGCTCTGCTGCTTCAAACCAACACGGCTGCTCACCAGAATCAAAGCCTGCTAAAGAGTGATCAAATTGGGGGGGGGAAGAGAACTATTCTAGTATTAAGTACCCTGGAAGTGGAGGTCATCCATTTCACAGGTACAAAACCGCAGGGCCCTGGCTCAGGGGTGGAGCCTCTGCTTGACATGCAGAAGGGTCCCAGGTTCAGTCCCCGGCATCTCCAATCGAAAGGACCCGGTCAACGTGAAAGAACTCTGCCTGAGACCCTGGAAAGCTGCTGCCACTTTGAGTAGATCATTCTGACCTTGATGGACCAAGGGTCTGATTCAGGAAAACACGTGAAGGAGGGAGCACCAAGGCTCATGAATTTAGCAAGAGTGGTCTCCCCAATGACAGCCGCAAGCGCAGTGCGACCCTGTGCCTAACCGGAGGGGGGACGGAGGTGCATGTCTCTCATCCAGGCTGCTTCTTAAGCCGACGCAGCATTCCACGTGCAACGGTCCAGAGCTCTGAAATTCTCAGACGGCAGGGGCTGCAGGAAGAGCATATGAACTGGCCCATTAGGTGGAACAGGAGGGAAGGGAGATCCCCGAACCTCAGCTGGGTTGGTACCAATGTTCCCTCTAAGCGGTGAAGTCTCGTGAGCAAAAACTCTGCTTTGTGAGCTACTGACATTAAAGTTGTGAGCAAGCAACTTGGCTACTGCATAAATTAGCTTGCTCTGGAGCCATCCCTTCCCGAGCTAAGGCAAAAAATGTGGGAGCCGGAGGATAAAAAACTGTGAGCTGGCTCACACTAACTCAGCTTAGAAGGAACACTGGTTGGTACCTGGTTGGAACCCGGAAGGGAAACCCGCGTGGAAGGCTCTGCAGAGGCAGGCAATGGCAAACCACCCCTGCTTCCCACTTGTCCCCAAAACCCGTTGCTGTGGTCACCATACGCTGGCTGCACCTTGACGGCACTTCGGATCCACGTTGGGTGGAAGGCCCACACCACATGGCTCCACAGACAGGGGGAGCGTCCCAGAGGTTGAATGGGAGGCCCAAAACCCGTCGCTGTGGTCACCATACGCTGGCTGCACCTTGACGGCACTTCGGATCCACGTTGGGTGGAAGGCCCACACCACATGGCTCCACAGACAGGGGGAGCGTCCCAGAGGTTGAATGGGAGGTCATGAAACACACAGATTGGGCTGCTCTCATTCTAGCAACATGGCTTCATGCCCCCCCCTCCCCTTAGCACTTGCTCAGGTCCCGTCACTCAGCATTCAGGGTCAGGTGGTCTCTCTTCCCACTGATGCGAACAGGCAACGGGACTTCCATATCTGGCAATGACCAGGAAGCCACCGCATAACCAGAGTGCTTTCCCAGCATTACAAATCCAGCGAGCGTTCTCCTTCTCAACTTGGGCTACATTCTGGGACCCCCTCACCCAATCCGTTTCCTTGTTTGGTAAAGGCCCGGAGTTACTGTTGCAGCTTCCAACAGCCTGTAAGTTGGGATAAATGGACAATAACACTTAGCGGCAGGGCTTTTTTTTGTAGAAAAATCCCAGCAGGAACTCATTACCATAATAGGCCACACCCAACAGCAGAAACGCATTCGCCTATTAGGCCACACCCCTGACCGCACAGCTCATTAGCATATTAGGCCACATCCCCATGCCTTCCCTTGGCTTGCCCGGGGGCCCCGTTGCTGCGGGGAGCCCGGGAAAGTCCCCCCTTAAAGGGAAGGGAAGGCAGTTTAAACTGCCTTCCTTTGGCTTGCCCAGGTTCCCCTTCCCTCTGTAGCCAGGCGCGCAGAGGTTTTGGCTGTAGTGGGTGTGGCCAACTCTGAAGCCAGCCGGAACTCCGTTCCTGTGCGTTCCTGCCCCAAAATAGCCCTGCTTAGCGGAGGTATAACACTTTCAGTGGCTCAAAGCACTTCCCAGATACGGTCTGGTAACCCTCACAGCAACCTTGTACCGCTGGGCCAGCACTGTTATCCCCACACAGGGACGGAGAGAAGGGAGAGGAGGCTTTTCTGTGACCACCTAGTGGTCACAGAAATGAGAGTGAAACCGGAGACTGCTGGATCGGAAGCCTGTGGCCTTTGCCGCTAACCTACACCAGCTCCCAGCATCAAAGGCCATGGAGTGGGCGTGTTCCCGGCCTTGGCTCACCCCCATCTCTTTCCAAGGAAAAGGGCACCACTGTCTCCACCAGTGGTTCAACTGCTTCTTCCAGAGTTCCTGCTGGAGACTTCTCAAGGAGTGGGAAGACGCACCCACACGTGCACACACACACACACACACACACACAAATGCTTGCTTTCAGGAAACAAGAGATCGCCACCTGAGCCCCTGCACTCTTGATCTCCCAGCAGGAGAGCCTACCAGGGTCACCTGGTCCACACCTGACGAGCCGAGCCCCTCCAACAGGCAATGCAAGAACCAAGCGGTCGCTTTCAGCATCAAAACACGCCCTTCTTCCCCACCCCACCCTCCTTTTGTAAAAACACTGGCCAAGCTGAACAGTCTTAGGTGGCAGCCACGCAGCTCCTTCCGAAAGGAGAACATCTTCCCCACTCAGGGCGCGCTTCTCCTATAAAGAGTCGCTAGGTCCTTCGGCAAACCTTTGACCTTCTCCCCAGGTTCCTTTCTCGGCTCTTCGGAGCCTTTGCTCTCTTGCAAGACCTGCGTGGCCTGCCGGAGCTGTTCCACCGCCTCACTGAGCAGTGCCTCTCTGTTCGTCGGCGGCCCGTTGCCCGCGGGGGGCTGCTCACTTAGTACCAGCTGCAGCAGCCGTTCTGTTCTCTCCCGTTCGTAGGCAACCTTTTTTTCCATCTGGGCGACGTGGGGGGCCGCTCCCTTCTGGAGACCCTGCCCCGGGTGGGGCTTCCCTCTCAGTTCCGTCAGCAGGTCCCCCATAGAAGATGACCGAGTCTTAGGAGAAGTAGAGTTTCCCACAGACTCCAACAGCAGTGCCTGGCCCTTAGCAGGAAGGCTCGAGCTCTCTTTGTTAACTTCTTGTGCTGAGGACGTTTCTCTCTGCTCTTGAAAGAGGAGCTCCCCTTCCCCGTGTTCAAAGACCGGCTCCTCAGGAGGTGGCTCTGTAACTCCTTCGCCGTTCATTCCATTCACTGGGGAATTCGAGCCATCGGGTCTCTGGTCATCTTCGGAAGTGTCGGCCTCGGAGCTCTCCCGCTTGGAATTCATGCTGGCTCTCAGCTTCTTTGATAGAATTTTAGGGGGAGGTGTTGGCGGTCTGGCCACCTCCTTGGCATCGTCGCGGAGGTTCTCTTTGCTGCCGGCTGCAGGCAGGTTCCCATTATTGACAACTGCCAATTCAGAAGCTGGATCATCCCAGGATACCTTCATCATCGCAGATAAGAGCTTCGGGGGAGGGACAGGACCTTTGGGAGTATCTTCGCCGGCTTCCACCAAATGCTCTACCTCTGAGCCAACGTTGGTCTCTTTGGCGTTTTCAGCTTGAGTGCCCCCATCACCTTCTGCAGAGCTCAAACTGTCACTGGGTTCGTCTGTTTCTTTAACACTCTTAGCAGGAGGCATCGGGGGGCTCTTGGCGTCCAGATCTTCGGACATCGGATCTGGATCCAGCTTCTCAGTGAGTGGTTTAGTCGGGGGCATGGGCGGCTTGATTGGCTCCTTGGGAGGGGACACGTTAATAGTGTCGCTTGCTACCAAGGTGGTGTTCAGAGGGCCACTGTCTGGTACATCCAAGTCCAGTCTCAGGATTCCATCGGACACGGAGTTGGCAACCTAGACCAGGAAGAGACAGACCTTCGCATCAGTCCTATGAACCATCAAACTCCGAAATAACAGTCTAGAAACAGATCAAGATGGGTCGCCATGTTAGTCTGTCTGTAGCCGTAGAAAAGAGCCAGAATCCAGTAGCACCTTAAAGACTAACAAAATTTGTGACAGGGGAGGAGCTTTCCTGACTTTCAGGGGAGGGACAGGAACTTTGGGAGTATCTTCCCCGGCTTCCACCAAATGCCCTACCTCTGAGCCAAATTTGCTTGATTGAGGGGAGGTTAGGTTTAACCCTTCCCTCCACAAACAACTGAAAGCTCAAACCCTGCCAGAAGTTTTGGTAGTCTTTAAGGTGCTACTGGACTCTTGCTCCAGTCTAGATACACCTGAACACCAACAAAGGCAGAACCAGCTCCTGAAACCAACAAGCTACGGAACTAAAAAAAGAAAACCAGAACTTGACTGGGCAGCATATAGGAAGAACTGACTACCACCCATTTAAGTAAGCTTCCTTAAAATATCTGGCTTAAACCGCAGTCCTAGTAGATAGTGCTGAATGGCACAGGAGTGGGCCTTGGACCTGGGCCAATAGAGGACAACATTAACAACAATAATAATTTGTATTGCCTTTTACGCTGATTTTTTTTAATGGTACTCGATTGCCACCCGGGAGGCTCCTTTTTGGGCGGCATGGCAGGATAAAAATGTTTTAAGCAACTAGATAAAACCGTCCCCCATTAAATCAGACCGTTGGTCTATCAGGACTAGCAAGGGCATCATTCCACACTTTATGATCCGGTGCCCCATGGAGAATGTCACATGACTTGGAAGCTTCCTTCTCTGCCCCGGCACACACACAACAAAGCACAAGGTTGCGGGCCGAGGGGAGACGGGGAGAGACGCTTTAACACTCCGCGAGGCACCCTTGCCCTGAGACCTCAGCCATAGGCAAAATATGTATCTTCCTTATGTATTTATTCTAGGGGCAGCACCCAGATTACTGTGGCACAGGAAAAGGGCTTCCTCGTCTCCCTGGCCGCAAGCGTTACCTCTTTCAGATGGCTTCTGGTTGGGGGGCGACGCCCTTGCCCCATTTTGGCTCTGCCTCGGGTCACGTGTTCCAGAGAGAGGCTTTGGTCCACCTTCACCTTTAAGCAGCAGAGAAAAGAAGGGGGGGGATCACTGATGGTCGGAGATCAAGGAAGGCCCAAGTCTTTTCGACCCGCAAAGTTATATGGGGGATTACTTTGCACATGCCCTGACCGGGATGGCCCAGGTAAGCCCGATCTTGTCAGACCTGGGAAGCTAAGCCTGGTCAGCCCTGGTTAGGACTGGGATGGGAGACCACCAAAGAAGCCCAGGGTCACAACAGGTAGGCAGGCAATGGCAAAGCATCTCTGTTCATTTATTGGCTTGAAAACCCCATGACAGGTTAGAATCACAGACTCACAGAGTTGGAAGAAGCCCAGGGTCACAACAGGTAGGCAGGCAATGGCAAAGCATCTCTGTTCATTTATTGGCTTGAAAACCCCATGACAGGTTAGAATCACAGACTCACAGAGTTGGAAGGGTCCCTGCAGGCCATCTAGTCCAACCCCCGGCTCAATGCAGGATCAGCCTAGAGCATCCCTGACGAGTGTTTCTCCAGCCGCTGCTTAAAGACTGCCAGCGAGGGGGAGCTCACCACCTCCCAAGGCTGCTGATTCCACTGCTGCACAACTCTGACTGTAAAAAAGTTTCCCCTAAGATCCAGCCGGAGCTGCGGTGGCTCAAGCGGTTAAGACGCTGAACTGCAGGCTGTGGAAGGTCGGTAGTTCAGCAGTTCAAGACCCAGGGGTGCTGCGTGACGGAGTGAGCTCCCATCTCT